TAATTTGGCTATTGTTGGGAGTGCTGCTATAAACATTGACCATTCCCTGGAGAGGAGGATCTGGGTGGGGTTGCCTGCCCCTCTTGTAGCCGTAGCTGGTCCCGTTATCCGGCCCACACGAAGGGCTTTTTTTTTTTTTAGGACTCTCACCAGGTTTTTTATGTGAGCATCTGGTGGGGTCCTTGAAGAAAAGCCTACAAGGCCAGGTGACCTCATCCTATACCTGCAGCTCCCAGGGGCCCCACGCTCCCTCACTCGGCCTCTCCCGGCTCGTTCACTGTTGTAGCTAAATCCTTAGCAGTTTCGGCGTCTGCCGCAGGCCAGGAAGTACTTCTCCCTCTTCCTGCCTGTCCTTAGTCTGCAGCCTCGGTGGCCCAGCAGCCCCAACCCTCTGTTAGATTCCAGCAGTCCCGAACTCCTGAAGTGGTAGTTTGTCCTGCTTTGTGCTGTTGGGTTTGTCCTAAGGGTGGGAATGGTGCTCTAGCTGTCTCCGTCTGAGCAGAAACACCTCCAGTAAATGCTTTCAAACAATCCTCTGTGGCCTTAAGGAGAGCGTTTGTGGGGTGGAGCACTCAGCGTTGGGCGCCTTCTCCGCCCTGTCCCTGCTTCTCAGCAGGGGGTGGTGGTCTGGGCAGCAGTTGGCAGACACCCCACCTTCTGAAGAACCAGAGGAGGAGAAGGCGGAGGGGACCGTGCATGTGGGGACACACGCAGTTGAAAAAGTTAGTGCTTCTCCTGTTTAACGGCAGCGGGTAAATTTTGAAATGTTTTATTGGTTTCCACAAGGTGGCGACATAAATATGTGTGAGAACCACCAGCTCTTTGTGGGTTTTCGCAAATTGGTGGTCTGAGTAATTGGCCAACGGGTGACAGTTCCGTCCTATGGTACCTTTTGTAAACATACCTGTCCTCTCCTCTGTGTGTGGCCTAAGTAGTTTTATTTTAGTGGAGGGTCTTCTGACCCGTCTTCTCAGGTTATTAATATCCTGTCAAAAAAAACCGCTTAAAGTTTTTGGGTAAGATGCATGAAGTCCTCTTCCTCTAATTTGTGTTAATTTTTTCAAAATTTATTGAAGACTGTTAAATGTGGTATTTGTGTGCATACTATGTTGATAGGGCTCCAAAACAGACTGGTTCCTAAGTCAGTGTGTCTCTTGTGTGTCACTGGCCGGCACAGCAGATACACGTGACTTTATCGCTAGGAGGGAGACCTGTGCTGTGGCCCTGCTACCTCACCAGGAGTCCGGGAGCGTTTCTGTCTGCAGTAAAAGGAGATCAGAGCTAGACTTGAAAAGAAAGGAAATGCTAGTAGGTTTTTGTTTTGTTGATTATTTTCTACCCACCTCACCTGTGCTTTAAAAAAAGAAAAAGAAAAACTGAGCTTAGTAGTTAAAAATCTTAATTCTTTCGGGGCGCCTGGGTGGCGCAGTCGGTTAAGCGTCCGACTTCAGCCAGGTCACGATCTCGCGGTCCGTGAGTTCGAGCCCCGCGTCGGGCTCTGGGCTGATGGCTCGGAGCCTGGAGCCTGTTTCCGATTCTGTGTCTCCCTCTCTCTCTGCCCCTCCCCCGTTCATGCTCTGTCTCTGTCCCAAAAATAAATAAAAAAAAAAAGTTGAAAAAAAAATTGTTTTAAAAAAAAACAATAAAAATGCTTTTTTTTTTTATGTTTATATTTGAGAGAGAGCGTTTATGTGAGTGGGGGTGGGGCAGAGAGAGAGGGAGACACAGAATCGGAAGCAGGCCCCAGGCTCCGAGCCATCAGCACAGAGCCCGACGCGGGGCTCGAACTCACGGACTGCGAGATCATGACCTGACCCGAAGTCGGACGCTTAACCGACTGAGCCACCCAGGAGCCCCCAGAAAGGAGTTTAAATTTCTTATAAGATTATCAGAGGTTTTGCAAATGTCAACCCCAGCCCAGAACTAAAACCTAGCCATCTTAGGCCCAAACTGTACATAGTGAATGCATTTTAAACAATCACTTTACTGTGCCATGGGTGGTTTTGAGAGGAAGAGAGATTTGCCTGATTAAAGAAGTTGAAATAAGAGGGAGAAGAGAAATGAGGTTCTACAGAGGGTTCTCCAGGGAAGACCTCCCCACAGTCGCGTTACATGTGTGCCCGTTAACAGGGCTGAGGGGTGTCAGGCTCAGCACGGAGGAGGGAGGAAATCCTGGGTAGCTTTCCAGGCCCCAGGCTGCCCCAGGCTGGATTTTCATCGTAGCATATCATCGGACATGCTGTTTTCTTCTTGTTTAATGCACTCCCCCCCCCCCCCGCCCCCCCGCCACTGCTACCTCAGTAGCCTGCAGATGCCGTGAGCACAGGGACTCTGCTTGGTGTGTTTTGTTCACGGCCATGAGCAGTTCCCAGTACATAGTAGGCACTCAGATATTTGTGAAGAGAACGAACCTTGGTTTTAATTGACGTATTGAAGTAAATATCTAAAAACGGGCCTGGGAACAGTGACTGCGAGAAGGTAAGCACGGAATAGGCCTTAACGGACCACCCGCTTCCCTGTGGGCAGTGACGGTCTGGGACTGCTTATTTGGGTTTCTTTCTGGATCGTCGGTGGACCTCACTGTGCACTTCTGTTTTGTTTTTGTTTTAACGCGGCAGTAATACTGAAGAGGATGTAGTCCTCAAAACCAACAAGCAGATTTACTCCCAGCTTTTGAGAGCTACCGCTAACAGAAACTCCACTCTTCTGGAAAGGATCGACGTCCTCATCCAGTTGCTGGATCAGCTTGCTCGCGGCGGCAGTGGCGGCCAGTGACTTGGGCCTGAAGCTCCGTCCGCAGAGACGCTGTCAGTGCCTTCTGCTCTTGGGGCCCGGTTTGTCCATTCGGTGCTTCGTGTCATTAAATAGGAGGGAAAGACTCTCCTGTCACTAAAGACAGGCACAGCAGTGGAAACACAGTTCTCTTTTCCCGTCACGGACACATCGTGGTTGAGTTCTTTGCTTCATTTGAAGTGGAGGCAGAACCAGACTGAGAGCCCCCGGCGTTGGTTTTTCAGAGACATACGTGGTGCCTCCGTGTTCACACCCTTGCTGTGATGCAGCTGCACTTGTAAACAGGTTTCAAGTCCGTTGGGCTCCATGGGTTTAAGATAGAATTATTTTGGATGATGTTACCGTGGTCAGGGGAACTTGAATCCAGATGCCTTTAGTGGTTCAGGTGGGTTCAAGAAACATCCTGTCTCTACGGCGCTTCCCGGTCGCACGGAAGGCGGCCCGCCCTCCCCCCGTGTCGTGGGCTCCGTGGTGTTGAGTTCGGGGCGCGCTCTGAGAGCGCCCGCTTCTCTCTGACCGGCTAGGACAGCTGATCGAGGATAGGTACTGCTCCCTCTTTCTTTCATTGTAAACTGGAAACTGTGAACAAGGTAAGAAAACTATTTTGAATAAATAAATTATTTATTTAAAATGTCTGTTATTTTTCCTGAATTTCACATTCTGCACTTTGAGTTTTGATTTGAACTGGTTTAATCAATCTTCCAAAGTGAAGATTAAAACATTAAAATCTCTGCCATTCACCGCATCGTCACAGAACGGGACGCTGCTTGCACCCGTCACGCACGGCTCTCGTCTGGGCACCAGCGCGAGCTCTGCTTTCTCCGTGCCCACCTCGCGCTGCCTACCTGCCCTGGCACCACAGCCTCCGTTTCAAGGAAACGGAACAGAAATCGGGCATGCCATCTCCCGTCGGGTTGACGGCTGGGACGTGTAGACGGGAGCCCGCTCTGCCGCCACGTCCGTCGGCCTGGCCCCGAGTGCAGGCTCACCCCTGACCTTCAGCGCCTCCCGCAGCCCCTGCGCCTTGGCCAGTAGTCCCTCCGCTCAGTGGCCGTGCCCTCTGGAGGAATCTGAACCGTACCAGAAAGTTGTCTGGAATAAAGTTGGTCCTTTACAAAGTGTTTTCTCGAAAGCGCGCCGAGATATTCAGGTGTTTTCCTTGGCGGTGAGTTGACACCTGTCCCAGCTTGACGGGACTGTCGCTGGCCCTGTCCTTTGTCTACTTCTTTGTTATCTGGTTTGCATTTCCTTGGGACAGATGTGCATCCGTTCTCAAAAACCACTGAGGCATTTAAAGTTTTAACTAAGTCGTGAAACAGATGTACAAAAGCAGACATCGTCCGTCGGGACAGCCGTCCCTCCGCTTCCCCTGCGGCGAGTGCTGTCCTCACTGGTCCAGCCCGCACACTTCCCCCGAGAAGATCCAGTTTTGAAGTAAGCTGGCATCAGGATGTCGCGTTCCTGGTCTTGTCTTCCAGCCTCTCCTTGGCTGAACAGCCTTTTAGTCGAGGAATATTCGTTTCTAAGCAAGAAGATGGCAATTCTAGCTGTCTTCACTTGTCGAAACAATAATATGAACGTTCCCTACAGGGGGAGAAAAAAAGTCTAAATGTTGTAATTTGCTGATTTTAAATGAGTGCTTCTTAAAGTGCTTGAGCTTTGGCTGGTAGGTGGGCAGAATTGTGCTACTTGTGGCCTGGTCATTGAGACGACTTGTTTTTCAGTTAATTTCAGGGCAGGGATGGAGAGAAGGTGCCAGGGCCCTGGGTCTGGAGTCAGAGGCAGGGGTCACCAGCAGCCACTGCGTTGACCCTGCTGGGAAGGACACAACGGTGAACTTCAGTTTCTAGGACTAGAAATGTGCAAACTAGTGTGGGCCTTGGCACTCCAACGGAGTTGTGAAGATGGAGAGAAATGCGTGGGGAAACCTTCCATACGCTGTCCGTGAGGGAAACGTAAGTTACCACACCAGCAAGTGTGGAGCACAGTAGTGGAGCTTTTCCGATGAATCCCTATGTTTTCGGGGAGCCGTATCTCCTTCTGTGATTGGATCCTTTGGCCACGGCTACGTTCCCATCTAGCCATGAAATCGGTACAGGGGTGACGGGTGGCAGAAGGACAGGGATGTGTCAGGATTTGTTTTTTTTTTAACCTTTCCTAAAAATGTCCTAAAATCATTCGGTAATTTTTTTTTTTTTTTTTTTTTGGCCCGTAAAACGGACTTCTAAACCACGTATTTGAAAAGTTCAGGTAATAGCTTTTTCCACTGGGTTTTAGCCCTATTTGTTTTGGTTACTAAAGATCTGGTTTATTTTCTTTGTAAAAGACCCGACTTTCTCTCAGAAGAGAAATCCCTTTCCCCACTTGCCTGTTTTTCTCCTTACATGTTCAGGGTGGAGGCATGGACATCACAAATGTCAAACCACCTCCCTGAGATGGGCTGCTTGGGAAATAAGCCATTTGAAGGAAGCCAAGGCTGGTGCTGTTTGTCCTTGGCATTAACCACTTTCCAGTACGCATTGCCTTTGAGCAAGAAAACGGAGTTGTGTGCGTAGGAGTAATAGGCTGAATCTATATTTCTGAAAGGATGGTTTTGTGGCTCTATTCCTGGAAATACCTCAGTAATCTTCATTGGATAAGAATCAAGTACTTGATTTCTGTTGACATCAAATGCAAACACCTGCAAAGCAAGTAAGAAAGTGAGACCGGCATTTCTGAAAACCATTGATTTTTTAGATTAATTTTAGGAATGAGCTAAGTAAATCTGTAGCTTTGCACCAAATTCTCTGGGCTTGAATTTCTTAATTTTCCACATGATGGGACCCGCCATGGTCATACAGGGCCGAGGCAATTGAGAACAACTTTTAACAACTTGGCCCTCTGACAAACCTCGGGGTGATAGAAGCCACACCAAGCTGGAAAGCCTCTACTTACGAGGGACTCTTTGAAGAAGTAAATTAACTGTTTTCTCCGGTCATAAAAGGCAGTGTCCAGAGGACTTGGAATGCCAGGAAATCCTTCCGAAATCAATCTGGGGTAGCTTCTCCCTTGTTCATCCTCTGTGTAGGCCTGATCCTTGTCGCTGTCGTATCTCCAGTACTGATTTCCTGAGAGCCAAACAAAACATGCTTATATGGCTTATTACCATTTAATTATGGACGACAAAGAGGCCCACTTTCAATCTAGGTCTCCGCCAACCGTGATGTTTTGCCATGACCCCAGAAGGCAGCAGGACCTCAGCATCTGAGTGAAGCCTCCACTCAAGTGAATGATTCTCCAGGTCTTGAATTACTTCTAGATCGGTTCTGACCATCATTGCCGCTATTAAGATGTTGGTTGCCTTTTGCAGGGCACGCCGGCCCCCTGGTGCTCATCAAAAGCAAAAACAAAATGACAAATCGTACGGTCTTTTTCACATAAGCATCTTCTGTTTTTTTCCCTTCTTCCTATGTAGTCTCATGATCTTCCTTTTACGTGTTAGGATCCCAGGGGTTGCCGTGAATCGTTTTCCCACCATAATAAATATAAGCCCTCTTTTTACAGAAAACAATCATGATGCTTATGATCAGGTCTTTTAAAGATTTTGTTTAAGTAATCTCTACACCCAGAGGGGCATTAAACTCAACCCCAAGATCAAGAGTCACACGCTCTACCAGCTAAGCCAGCCAGGCACCCCAGCTTTTTGTCAGGGTTGTAGAATTCTGCAGTTCGACTACCATCTCGGTTGTACAAATGAGGAAACCGGAGAAGCGCTGAAGCACTTCATCCGGATTCGCGGCCCAGGTGGGACCGGTGCGGCCCGAGACTCCCTTATCCCACCCCAGTGACTCGACCCTCTGTCCTGTGAAGGCACAGCTTGTAATGTTGCTCTGTTTCAGTTCACGATCCAGATGCCTATTTCGTGCTCTGAAACAGCACAGGACTCTTCTGGACTCTCATTAGTTGCTCATCCCGAACCCTGGCATATGGTCAGCATAAAATAGAATAAATCCACTGAGCTAGAGGTTTTGGTGTTCACAACCTACGTCACATCACAATCAGTTCCGTTCCGTAGCAGCCGCCCACGCGAGCTCCCTCTCGCCCTGCTTCTACCCCGTCCCCAAAAGGTTTGCCTTTGAGAGAAAACAGTGACGTTTGTCCGGCCAATGGCACAGTTCACTCTAACTGGAATATTTGAATTTAAAGTATTCTCGGCCAGTTAAACTTAAGAGGTTTTTTACAGCTCCGAGACTAAAATACACGTGTTATTACAGCAGTCCCCCACGATGACCTAATTCTGTAACGAAGAGTCTTTGTTGCCTGTGGAAGCTCTCGTCCAGGACTTCTTAGGACCCTGAGAGATGTGCTTCCAACTCTGAGAGCCCTGGACTAGACAAGTCCGCCCTGGGCAATTTGTTTCTGTAACTGCACTCCATTCTTCCTTTGTGCGATGTAAAGAAAATTAAGGCCAGATTCATGCACTGGTTTCTTGCGGCAAAATCTGCACACAGCTTCCTTTGGGTTTGGCTCTTGCCTCTCTGACTCCTGAGCCATTTAAGGCCAGAGGGTCCTATTGCCGGGGCTCAGGCAGACCGAGGGCACACGGCTTACCTCTGGGGCAGTTCGGGGAAGGGAAAGAAAAAGCAGCCACAGAATCTTGTTTGTGCTTATCAGACTCCGGGCATTTGGTTTGCAAACAGCCAGCCTCCGTGACGCGGGCAGAGGCCCCCCGGGCAAGGCGGCCTGTAAGGGGAGCGGCAGGACGGTCCCGGCCGGTCTTCTCTGCGCATCCACGGAGCCCAGACCCCCGCCTCGGTCTCTGCCTCCCAGCAACACGCTGATCCTCCCTGCTCAGAAACTGCCACCGACGCCTCACTGCCTGCTGGCTGAAGTCCAGCCCCCGGCCACGGTGCTCGAGGCTCTCGGGGCTCAGGCTGACCCTGTCTTTCCAACCTGATCTCGTCCCGTGTGAGTGCCCTGCCCCTGCACCCCGCGGGTTCAGCTGTCTCAGACATCTTTTCCCCTCCCTCTAAAGCCTTGCTTCCACTTCCTGTGTCTCACACCCCACCCCTCACCCCCGTCCACACTTCCCCCATCACACCCCCGCTGTCCCGGCGGGACTCCCGGGGTCCCACACGGCCTCCGGGTCTGGATCAAAAGCCCTGACTTCTGGGTGGCTCCAGCCTCTGGTTCCAGGTGGCCGTGGTCACCTTATCCGCTCTCCTTCACCACAGACTTCTAGCGGGGGGCTTCTAAGGCGGCTCCTCTCCAGAGGAAGGAAAACTGCTGTCGGGGGGGCCCCTTTCTTACAGGTCTCGGGCAACCACCTCTGCCTGGCACAGCCGGTTCACTCATTCATTTGTTCACGTGACGCATTCGGCGCCTTCATACCCTGTGCTCAGAACTTACGGTCCGGTGGGACAAGCCAGTCAGGTGAGTCACTGCAAGAGCACTAGAAGATTCCCTGGCACGGGGCTCAAAGCCCTCGTTCCGAGTGCGCCTGTGTGATACAAGAAATCGAGCCATCCGGGAGAACCTCTACCTTTAAAGAAATAGCGTTCGTCTCTTCTCCACGTCCAGAGGTGGACAAAAGCGTCTATGTTTTGTGTTGGGATTCCGCGCCAGCCGCTGAGGATTTGGATGGGGTCCCCGTAGCGTGTCCGGCTGTTTCGATTTTCGTAAAGCCAGTACCAGCCGTTGCGGAAGAAATACGTGCTAAACCTCATCATCGCTGCTCCGTATTGGTTTCTCTCTTTGCGAATCCAGTCAAATGCGGTATCAAACGATCCTTCACATGAACCTTCGGAAAAAAAAAAAAGTCCCTCGTCACCTGGGGCAAAAACCACCTGTTGCTACTTTCACGTGTGATTCAAATAGAGACCATTGCAAAGCCAGAGTTTTCGATTACACTTTTTTTGGTGTGTGTTTATTTTTGAGAGAGAAAGAGCGCGTGCGCGAGAGGGGGAGGCGCAGAGCGCGCGGAAGACGCAGAACGGGAAGCAGGCTCCAGGCTCCGAGCTGTCAGCACAGAGCCCGACGCGGGGCTCGAACCCACGAACCGCGAGATCGTGATCTGAGCTGAGGCTGGACGCTTGACTGACTGAGCCAACCAAGCGCCCGTCTCTTCAACGGTCTTAAAGCAAGACGCCACACAAGGCTGGAAGTAGGCCTGCCCGGAGGTGGCGGGGAGGGGGGCCTGCAGCACTGCTGGCTCACGTGGGCTGTTCCGGCTCATCTTGGTTCTCTCAGAGGTTCTCTCAGAGGTTCTCTCGGAGGCGCTCCCGGGCCTCTAAGTGTCTCCATGCGGATGCTGGTCATGTGATCACCTTCACCACAGCTGATGCCTCCTGACCGCTGGCCTGACCTCATTTAGAGGCAAGAAGCTTGGTTCTGGGCACACACCAGAGTAAGACCGCCTCTGAGGGAAACACGTGCCGTCCTGGCACCGCTTACTGTCCCCAGAGGCCCAGGGCCAAGAACATAGGGTCGGAGTGGAACAGAAGGGGGGTGGTCTCTGTGTTCGGTGGAAAAGGGGAGGGCAGCTCGCTTTCCCTTCAGCCTCCAGGCTAAGCCATTAGTCACTTCAGTTAACTAACCACTCACACCTTAGCCTGAACAATTAGAGGTGAAAATTGATCCTCCCTGCTCTTTGCTTTGGGACGGCAGGAACCTTCTCCCTGGGGCACCTTCTCCCTGGGGCTTCCGGGATCTGTAGCTCCCGGGGGAGGGGGGAGGCCACCCCTTGGGCGGCCCAGTGCTGTTTGGAAAACCGCCAAGCCCTGTTCCTTCCTCCCAGAGATGTGATGTAGCACGTGAAGCAGAGGCCACAGGAGGGAATATCCATGCCGGTGGCCACCTGCATCCCCGAGCTAGAAGGCAGCTACTGCTGGGTGCTCTTGGAGTCGTACTGTTCCGTGCTCTTGGGGGGCCCGGCCTCCCGATAGGGAGCGGGGTCCTGTTGAGTGTCCTCTGGGAGCTCTGAGGAGGATCTCCCAGAACAGTCTTACCGTACAGCTTCTGAATGGCTTTTCTGTCCGACCAGTCCAGCTCAAACGCAGGCTCCTGGGGAGTATAATTCGGCCGCATTATGGATCCCGTCCTGTACGTGTGAGGCAGGCCGAGTACGTGGCCAATTTCATGGACGGCCACCTAGAAGGGGACACAAACCACGGGTGCAGTGCCGACCGTGGGCGTCCGAGCGCCTGCCAGCGGCGGGCCTCGCCAAGGGGAAGGGGGACGATGGTGAAAATCGGGGAACCTTCCCAGAAGGCTGTCCGCTCTTCCCTGAACTCCAGCCCACCCGGCACCGCCCTCTGCCCGGTCACTCCCCGCGGCCCGAGACCACTTACTTTGAGAAGGCTGATGCCCGCATCACTGCTGGGAGGTGTGAAGTGCTCATCATCGTCAAAGTGGATGTCGCCCAGGCGCCAGGCGTGTGCAAACTCCTGCCCGCTGCCATCAAAAACCCGGGGACAGCCCAGGTGCCGGCCTGGCAAGGGGACAGGGAGCACAGACACGTTCCCCCAAAACGGTCACAGCCTCGAGGAGCTTGTAGTCCAGGAGCGGAAGCCACAAGTCGCCTGCGCCACAGCGTTTTGAAGTCTAAACACTAAACACGCAGACTCTGTGGGAGCCCAGAGAAGGGTTCGGGGCATGGGGGTGCTATCAAAAGGCGAGATCTGAGTTGGATCCTAACAGTGGACGGGCCAGGACAGGAAGAAGGTGCAGCCCAATGATCACGTCCCCTTGCATGAATGCTGGGGACTTCTCACAGCAGGGAGTCAAGGGAGTCAGCAGGGCAGCCCCTAGCACCCCTCGATCCCAGCGGGGGCGCCTGCAGAGAGGTTACTTTGTCCAAACCCACCTGGCTAGGAGGGCTCAGTGCCCTGGCTCGTACCCTGCTGAGCTCGCTCCCTGCCGCAATGCTGACTGGGCTGACCTGCTCCAAGACCAGCAGTGAGGGGCCTTCACTGATGTCCCTATGTGACTCCCCCCGCCCCCTGTCCTGTGCAGGGTGGTGTGCCCGCACCCTTCCCGGTGAGCTGTACTGAAGCGCCTACACAGGGTTTACGACATGACCACGCCGCTGCCAGGGGCCATCTCGGGACACCCCGGGAGACAGCGGTCGTGGCACCGCCGGACAGGTGACCAGGGCGGGGCTCCCTATGCTAACCGGGCCCTGCCTGCGGCCGTGGGGGTCGGTGACCGGGAGCCCAGGGTTGGCTCGCCGTCTTCGCCCTTCTCACCTCGTCCGAACCCCAGTTTTATGTCCACCGCGGCCGCTGGGGCGGCGAGGTCCTCCCGGAAGTCCAGCGGCGTCACCTCGCTCCACATCCTGAAGGCCAGTCTGAGGATGTGCCGCTGCTCGTCCACGGACAGCTGGCCGCTGGCGCCCTCCCCCAGCAGCCGCCACGTCAGCGTCCTCTTGGCGAAGGCCCGGGTGTCCCTGCGGGGCGCGGCGTCCTCGGACCCCGGGCTCCGTGGCGGTAGCGGCCGCGCGAAGCGCTTGGGCCGCACCCGGGGCGGCGGGGACGCCGGCGGCCGCGTGTCGGGGACGCCGCAGCGCGGCCTGTTCATGGCCGCCAGCGTGGCCGCGTCCAGCCGCCC